CACCCGCTTTGTCTTCAGCGGTTGTATCGGGAAGGTGAGCATCATAGAATGCCAATTTAATACAAGGTATTCTTGCGTTGAGGGAGTACTTGAGTGGAGGCCCAATGTCCTTCTGCTACCTTAATAATAAACCTATAAATATAGGCTCATAGATCTATTTCCCCATCCTCATATAAATATATTTGCATATGTACATGCCTTTATCTAGACCTCTATAAATGCCCTTTTCCTCCCAGCTCTTTCCTCTATTTCCCTGGACAACTTTTTTTAACCTACTGGATTGCATGATATGTGAACTATATGCCAGTAATACTAAAAACCAAACCAAAACATGTGTCTTTGAGAATAGAGGAAAACAAACGAATACTTAACTTCAAATTTAATTATGTAGTTTCTAAAAGTAACTGTCTGAAACACGCTGTATATATAAACAAAGATGGTTTTGAAGTCAACCTCATGTCATTGGCCTTGATTTATTTCACTAAAGGCTTGTAAAATATGGCCACGTGTGCTGCAAGAATCCACTGAAGTCTGCATCCTGGTCCTGTTTTGCAAACACTGCACTCAGGACAGAAGCCACGGGTCAGAACCTACCGGAACCTGTGGGCCACAGGCAGTAAGAGTAGGGAGTCAAAAAAAAAAGTACTGAGTCATTTAAACCTTGCAAAGCTTCAGCTGCTTGTACCTTTATACCTGTGACTTTCTCCCAAAAAAAGGTCAATAAAATAAAGTCAATTAAAAGAAAAACAGAAAGACCTGATAAAGTAATTATAGCGAAGTGCTGCTGGATCAATCTAGCCGATGGCACTCCACTAAGAAATTCTTTTATTCACCTTTGCTGTACAACTGGAAACCTCTGGGATAAAAGATTGGGGTAAATGCACTATTTCGCTAACAATACTGAGCGCAGAGCTGGTTCGGTTGAAGCTGGTTACAACTTCTCCATCTTCCATCCAGGCCATTTGCTACAGTGTCTCACAGCACTCACACACGGCCCTCGCCACATGGTTTACCAGGGGAGGGCCAGGCTACCCCTAGGGGCCGGATCAACTTGGAAGCTGCCAGGCCAGCTACAGTTTCAGGCAGCACACAGCCTCACTCCCTTCCCTGGGCAGGCCAGCTCTCTGGGTCACGTAGTCAGGCTCTCCTGCTCACTGACTTGCTGAGACCAGTAGCCACTTCAGTGTGACAGCCCCAGTGCTCCTCTCGCCAGCATTTTCAGCCCCCCAAGAGGACAGCTTTGCTTTTACAGACATGCCCAGGGCATTCCGTTTGATTCCCTAACTGCTGCTTCCATGGAAGTTGAAATCCCTGACTTCAACCTTCTCTCCATTTACCTTGTCCATTCCTGAGGACTTTTGTTTTAGGATGAGGTAAGGGACCATGGTTGCGCAGTACATTATGTGTTAGGCTGTTAACCGTAAGTCAGCAGTTCAAACCCATCAGCTGCTCTGTGGGAGAAAGATGAGGCTTTCTGCCCCCATAGATTTACAGCCTCCAAACCCCACAGGAGCAGTTCTACCCATCCTGTGAGCTGGAACCAGCAGCAAGGAGTTGGTTTTGATCTTCACCAGCAAATGCTTTCAGGACTCCTCCTTGTGGCGAGTGAAGGTGTGTCATCTGCAGATTGTTAGTAAGCCTTCCTCCCATCCCGATACCACACACTCCAGCTTCTCAGAGTACTTGTCACCATACTAAGCATGGTCAAAGGAGAGAGACCTAAGGCACCCCTTTCGGGATTCTAAACCACGCAGCACCCCTTGGTTCTGTGTGAATGATTGCCTCTGGACCCGCGTGAGCACAATGAAGTGTTCTGAAATCCCAGGTTATCCACTTTCCATGATCCACAGAGGTGCGTGCCTCTGCATAGTCAACAAAACACAAGTAAACATCTGTCTGGTATTCTCTGCTTCTAGGCAAGACCCACCTACCTGACCAGACCCCAGAGGACATCATGCTTGGTAGAGGGCCAGCAAAGAAGAGTGGGACGTACTAACAACATTGTGAGCAGGGTACAGGGCAGGGGAGCATTGCTTTCTGTTGTACAAAGTGCTGCTTCGAAGCAGAACTGTCACCCTGGCCCCTCTCGGAACTCCCTCACCCCACCTCTTCCCCAGCCTGACCTGTTTCTGCAAGGCTGACTCTTACAGGAACAAGTGGGTTGATCCTACTGGCAAACTCGCAAGTCATTATTTGCATTAATAACTGAACAAACCTTTCAATGGGCTAAACTGACTAATCCTATTGCTGTGCCCAAGTGGATCCAATTACTAGCACAGGAACTGACATTTTTCTGCCTTTCCTGTAGATGGGGCCTGGCTTCTTCCCTAGGCAAAAGTAACAAACTCTCCAAAGAACTAAGCTAAGAGTAATATCACCTAAGGATTGGGGGGGATCTCACAAACTGTCCCTTCAAAAACAAGGCAAAAGGCCACAGAAAAGAACTCATTCCACCACACAGGATTTGAAGAACAAACACTAGGTTAACACAGCACTGTTGGTTCCTGCATGTGGTAAATTTCAGAAAATTGTATGCTAACAAATTATTTGGACATACCAATTTAGAAGACTGTTTTCTACAGAAAATGCAAGATAAGCTCTCCAAAACAAATCTACACCCACGGACCCATAGAGGAGTTGGGAAATGTGTGCTAAGACAAGTACTTACAGTTTATAACATTTGGGGCTGTCCCGGGTGTGAATTGAGAATCCTTCGCTCAACCGAGTGTCAGAAGCAACAATTGAAAAGTCTTCTCCAGCAATTGCCAGTACAGTGCTGAGAGAAAAAGACAACACATTAACATGGCCCTGCTTGAAGAGAACACTGAAGATACAGGTGCCACAGCAAAGTGTGGCACGAAAGCAGATAGTGCGTGCCTATCAAGCGGAACAGTGTCTGGGGTCTTAAAGGCTTATATTCAAACAAGCAGCCATCTAAGTGAGGCGTCACCTAAGTCCACAAGGAAGAAGCAACACCAGCTGTGTGATCCAGATAACAAAGAACAAAATCCAAATGTGATGAAGGGAAAGTGTCAGAGCTTAAATTGTGAGCACCCAATTTGCAGAAGTCTATGGAGGGCAGTGGAAGCCCCAAAATCCGTCTGCCGACTATCTAGTCAGAAGATGCCTCTGGCAGACCCCTCTGATCATAGGCGAGGTACTGAAACAGCTTTACTATCAGATGGATTATTGTAAACTTGATTATGGTAGATCAAACCATGGTATGATACTTGGTCAGTTGACCTCCCTCTTAACCCAACTTGAATTTGCTCTAGGCTCAAATATTTCTCACCTGTTCCAGAACAGAAGTTTCTTCTCTGGCTTTTTAAAATATTGATGGTGGTCTTTTCTTTCTTAGGCTTTACTTTTATTTATATCTTTATATATTTTCTTCTTGCCATTTTGCTTTGCTTTAGTTTTTATTTGGTTTGTCTGTTCTGTTGGGTTTCCTCGTCTGTGAAGCACAGGAGTGGATGCGTAGGGACACTAACTCAGGGGTCCTCAAACTGCGGCCCGCCGAGGGCATTTATCCAGGCCGCCAGGTGTTTTTGCCCCATTTTGTTTTTCACTTCAAAATAAGTTATGTGCAGTGTGCATAGGAATTTGTTCATAGTTTTTTCTTTTTAACTATAGTCCGGCCCTCCAACGGGTCTGAGGGACAGTGAACCGGCCCCGTTTAAAAGTTTGAGGACCCCTGCACTAGCTGATTCAATGATTATCGGGGATGTGAAGGGTGGTGGGGATGTGAAGGAATTTGGGGAGCAAACAGTGAATGCAGGAGGGGGGAGAAACTGAATGTTCTACCAACTCTTTTAAAGAGATTTAACTATGGAAGTGTAGGATATGTGGATAATACATCAAGGAAACTACTAAAAAAAGAAACAAACCAAAGTTGACTGGTGGTTACCATGGGTGAAGGAGGAAGATTTTGCTTAGGGGGCACTGAGTTTATGCTAATGGTGGTAGAATAATTTGGAACAGGATTATCAGTAATGGTTGTATAACAAAGAGTATAATCAATGGTACTGAATTAAACATGTAGAAGTTGTTGGATTGGAGAATGTTTTTTGTGTATATTTTTGCCACAATTAGAAAAAAATAATTACATGAATAACAATGAGCACAAGGAAGAAGAAAATGTGGTGATGATCGTATACTTCTTTTTCTGACTGAATTATTGAATTCTATGACAACCGGATGAAGTGCCAATAAACCTGCTCAAAAATAAAGAGAAAAATGTACTGAACTCCTCAATCTGGTGACAGGTCTCCAAGCAAGTAAGGGAGTGAAGGAAGGAGGAGCAGCCAATGAGAAGCCACCTGCTAAAACGGCAGGTGAATACCCGAGTGCTGACTCCCAGTGGAGACACAGGAAAGCCACTGATCTTCCACCTCCAGCAGGCTCAGCACTGCGGGGAGAGGGGGGAGGCAGGCACCCACAAGATGCTGCTGTGACCACTAAGGGGCGATTGTGCTAAAGCTCTGTAGGAGCCAAGGATGGCCAAAGGGAAGGAGGTACCATTTAGAGCACATTCAAGCAGTCTGTTAGGGGCCCTTTTTGCACAAGCAGGTAGAGGGACCTCAGGGTTCCATGCCATAAGGCAGAGAGAGGATCCCAAATGCACTGCCAACAATTTGGGAATTACAAGAAACCATGCAAGTCATCTAAGCAAGGAGAAAATACTTTACAACTCTTGACAAGACAGGAAGGAAGTCAGCCATGTTTGGAGATGCAAAGGGTGGAGCTTTGAGAGCCTGCAGTAATAAACACTTAAGAGCAAAGATTGAGAAAATATAAGCGAATAATCAAAAAGTCGTAAGAAATTAACATTTGCAGGTAATGCCTGAAGTTAGCATACAAGGGGTGAAAAAGTGAGCGGTGAGTCAGGAGTGCAAAGCCCTGTGAGATGTTATGTGAGATGTTATCACAGAGAATTTCTAACAGTCTGGCACAGCCCCTGGATGGCACCTTCCTTACTCACACCAGTGGTGGTACTACAACACTGTATGGCTCAGGCTCACTCCAGCTGAGGGACTCCTGGGCGTGGTTACAAGGATCAAATAGGCTAACTGCCTACAACTCAAAAGTGTCCAGTCTCCCCATAAAGGGGTTCAGTGGCTATGAAGATACAGAAACGGGCATCCAGAAAGTTGGGCAAGGTACCCTTTACAGGGTCAAAACCCCTGAAAACTCACTGCCAGGACACAATTCGGTCCTACAGAGGGTTTCTGAGGCTGTACCTTTTAAAAGAGCAGACAGCCTCTTCTTTCACAGCCAGGGCGAAAATCAAAATTCCTACAGGCCCAGTAATTCCACAACAATGCTTCATATTCCTAAGGCACCAATCGGTGGTTTTGTTTATTCAAACTGGGTGTGTTTTAATGCACAAAACTTGAATAAACTACTGCCACTGCTTCAACTCATAGCTCCACAGTCCTGATTCTTTTAGCGAGGTATCACTTCAAATATGTTTGGCTTTTGGGGGAGGGGCGAGAAATCCCCCTTGGACGTAACCTTAAGGCAACAGAGACCGCGTCTGCGGTTAAACCCTCCCACACACGCCCCAGGGTTAAGCTCACACGATTTAAAAGGTCGAGGAAACGCACTGACTGCCTCAACTTACCCCCAAAACAAATTAAATGCTACCGAGTCGATACCGACTCACAGCAACCCAATAGGACCGGGTGGAGCTGCCCCCTGTAAGTCTGCAACTGTTACTGTTTGCGGGAATAGAAAGCCCGGTCTTTCTCCCGCGGAGCGGCTGGTGGTTTCGAACTGCTGACCTGATAGATGGCAGCCCAGCGCTTAACTACGACGCCACCAGGGCTCCTCAACGTAAAGAGCAGAAAATGGCTAGGCCGTCGGATCTAGTGCCGTATCTGCAAAGGTGGACCACATCCGGCTGTTCCCGCGGAATGGCTCTGGCTGCCGCCTCCGCCGAGCCCGCCCGGCCCCGAGGCCAAAGGGCGCCTCCGCTCCTGCCCCGCAGCGGCGGCCAGGCTCTGGGCGAGGCACGGACCCGCCAGGCCGTGGGGAGTCGCAATCGCGAGCCCGGCGCCCACCGCGCTGAAGGCAGGAGTGGGCGGCGAGCCGCTCGGCCCCGCCGGCGGCGAGGGGAGGCAGGAAGACCGAGCTCCGGCCTTACCCGCCGTTGAAGGCGTAGGGCGAGAAGCGCTGCTGCGAGGGCCCCGCGGTCCAGCAAGGCCCCATCCACAGATCGCGGCCGGGCGCCGGGAGCGTAGCTAGCGAGGACATCGTCGCGCTGCGGAGCCTCCTGCTGTCTCACGGCGAGATGGCGACCCCGAACGGAAGCGGGCCTCACTTCCCGCCCGCCTCTCCTACCGGAAACGGATCTGCTTCCGGTCCTGCCAGGCGGGCCGCTCTACCCCATGCTCCTCGTTAGTCCGGAAGTCAACACCCACCCCCACCCCCGCCTTATTGGTAGAACTAACTAAACAAGTTCACAGCTATGATAGGATTACCTATTTATAGGGACATTATGTAGAATTTTCAAGACTGTAAGTCTTTTGGGGAGCAGATAGCTTCAGCTTTCGCCCGAGGTGACTGATGGAGTTGAATGGTTAGCAACGCCACTGAGCTTCTTGATATGCCCCCAAACCCACTGCCATCCATCGATTCTTACTTGTTAAGTACCACTGAGTCAGTCCAGCCCCTAGCACCCGATGTAGAGCAAAGGCGAACATTACCCGATCCTGCGCCATCCTCATTATTGTTCCTAGGTTAGAACTCAGTGTTGCAGCCACTGGGCCCATCCGTCTTGTCAAGCCATCCGCTTTTCCGAAGTAGCAGGGAGAGATGCAGCTTGGGAAGGATTTCTAGGTGAATCACAGCAAAGGCCCTTAAGATTTTCGAGCAAAGCCATGCCATCCTCTGCAGATAGCAACTCTCCTTTTGAGAAACAGATTTGGCTTGTTACTGGGCCTTAATAGAGACTGAATGTCTGACTATGGGCCACCAAGTCACTAGGTGATCTGAGCTGCACATCATAAACTAGATGTTGCCTCACCTATAATCATAAGTTGGATGTGCACAGCATCATTTCATCATTAAAATTCAGTATAATATACAAGCTCAAGCTCAAGGAGGACCTAAGGGCACAGTAAGTCACATGAAGAAGTGACCCAAGTGCCCATAGGCTCCACTCCTGTCACATTCCCTCCACTTTACCTGTGTGCACTATGGCCTCATGGGAAGTTCCTTGTGACCGGTTGATTGAGGAAGAGAGAGGGGAAAAAACAGGCCTAGTTTACACATGGTTCTGGATGATATGCAAATACCACTTGAAAGTGAACAGCAGCAGCACTACGGCCCCTTTCTGTGGCCTCCCTGAATGACAGTGGTGAAGGGGAAATGGCCAGAACCAATGGCCAGAACCTCAAGTAGTGTCCCTGGTCATTCACCCTGCCTAAAAGGACAAATGGCCAAATTGTGATTGCATATTGTTTCATATGTTAATCGTTTGCCTTTATGTTTAGGGACTTGGAAGGAACTTGCTTGAATAATTAGTGATGAGGAGGTATGATTGGGGATCACCACAACATGAGGAACTGTATTAAAGGGTCACGGCATTAGGAAGGTTGAGAACCACTGCCCTAGGATGTCATTCTTCACGTGTTTCATTTCATTTTGACCACTTCCGATGTTCTCAAATCCATGCACTCCATAGTCCAAGTTCCAATCACTAGAAGATTTTTGCAGCTCTTTCTTTTCACCTTGAGCCATTACCCTTCAGCCAACGACGATCCCAAAAGCTCTACTCATAAAGGCTTTGCCCAACTCACATCACCAGAAGCAACTTCCCTCCAAGATGTCAGATCCTCTTCAGTCACATTTTGAGTGTCCTGTACCCGAGGGGCCCAGCAGGATCTTGGACAATGTTCTGCTTCCTTTGTTTGGATTTTTCAGTATTCGAAAATGCTTCAAAACGATGTGTAAGGCTTTCAGTGTTTTCTTCCTCCAAAGTGGGGAGTTGAGTGCTTCTCTGTTGTCTGTTCTTAGTCTGGAAACTTCGCTGAAACCTGTTTAGTTTGGGTGACTCTGCTGTTATTTAAAATATTGGTGATCGAGATGAAGACCATGTTGCAGGAAAACATCTAGCTCACGAGTACACCAGTGTGTTGGCAAAACCACACTAGGCAAAGAGCTTACATCAAGATCAGGACTGAAATATATTAATGTGATTTAGCTAAAGAAGGGCAGTTATATGGTAACTATGATGAAGAGTGTATGTGTGATAGTTTTTGTGTGGGGAAAATGCAGCAATAGAGAGATGGGTTGAGTCTGGCCACTGACACCCATGGACCTGGTTCACAGGGACTAGAGGAGAAGAGAGCCTGTTGGCTAGTCTGAAGTTTAATGAGTTGTGCAGAACCTGAGTTTATAGCAATGACTTAGCCCAAGGTGGGTAGGGTTGTTGAGAATTTTCAAAGGGACCCATGGTCCAAGGGCAAGGCAGCCAATGAGCACCCTGTTGAGGCTAAGCGAGGCAGTGACCCACATTGAGTTAACCAGAACATGACCAGATGAAAATAAAATATTTTAGCCTGTGAACTGATGCATGCTGCTGCTGACTCTATGGATGGCCTGACTTGACTTTGCTTATGGATGCGGACTCACAGGTTCCAACTGCAATGAAGATTCTCCACACCAAAGTGCATGCTTGTCTCCTCAGAGCACTGGGTTGATCTAAGTGGGCAGTATTGAAATTAGATATGAAGTGACTGACTTACAATTTTTCCAGGGGGGTGGGGGGGGTGTAATTTTGATAGGATTATGGTGTCGGTGTTCACATTACTGCAGTTGTTAAGTAGAGACTATTTTGTGGGCCTATACAGTATTATGTTTAATGAGACTGGCATATTTTGAGTTGTATGCACTGTAGTTTTATCCTGTTAGGCACAAATGTGATTTTATTATTGTCCTTGTTTAAAAAATTATATATGGCTAAAGAATTGTGTACAAGTGCCAAGTTGGCACGGGTGAACTGTGATAGTTATTTTTTTGTGTGCCAACCATCAGAAGATATGGGTTGAGTCTAGCCTGCCAATCAGGTCACAACCTGCTGGTAGCTCCTGGTGGGCATGGCCTCTTCATAAGAAGAATCCTGGATAACTTCCTCTCTCTCTCTCTCTCTGCTTCACCTTCCTGTTGATGAGCCACTTCAAGCCACGCTGCTGGTAGCCAGAGCCCTGGAGAAGTGTTCACTGCCATTGGATCTGCAAGACTTTGCACCCAATGGCCTGTGATATTCCTGCATTTTGCATTATTGCACGTGGCTGTGTGAGTCTGAAGAGGGATCTATGGGATAGTATCAGACTTATGGACTTGATCTGGACTGGGTTGGCATGTTTGCTTGATATATAATTACTTCTTGATATAAAGCTCTCTCACATATATATACATGTCCCTGGATTTGTTTCTCTCATTAAACTGGCCCAACACCCAGTATGGTTGTTACATTTTAGATGAAGATAGAATAGTTGATGATTTAGAAAATCAAATGAAAGAAGTGAAGTTATTATTGATTACCATAGTTGCTGTACTGACAACAGATAACCGCATTGTACAAAATATTCTAAACAAGAGGTTGTAATGAGAAGAAGCTACAAGATTCAGTGTGAAAAATTTCAAGTTCTGTGTGACCAAGCCATGGCATCCTACAAAGTAGAAACAGTACCTCAGCTATCTAGCAACAAACCAGAAGGTGTAGAGAATAATAAAAGCCAGATAGCAAAACAGATCGAGCAAGGGACGAAAGATCATAGCTCTTGACTTTCGAGATTGGCCACATGATCATCACTCTTATTTAAGCGCTCTCTGCCCATCATAGAAATTGTCCAAGTATCACCTCCCTGATACAATCGCTGAAGACAAATGGGTGCATAAGCAAACGTGGCGAAGAAAGCTGATGGTGCCCGGCTATCAAAAGATATAGTGCTGGGGTCTTAAAGGCTTGAAGGTAAACAAGCAGCCATCTAGCTCAGAAGCAACAAAGCCCACATGGAAGAAGCACACCAGCCTGTGTGATCACAAAGTGTCAAAGGGATCAGGTATCAGGCATCATCAGAACAAAAAATCATATCATTGTGAATGAGGGGGTATGCGGAAGTGCAAACCCAAAGCTCATCTGTAGCCAATTGGACATCCCCTTATGGAAGGGTCGCGGGGAGGAGACGAACTAGTCAGGGTGCAGTGTAGCAATGATGAAACATACAACTTTCCTCTAGTTCTAAATGCTTCCTCTCTCCCCCCTCCACTATTATGATCCCAATTCTACCTTACAAATCTGGCTAGACAAGAGGATGTACACTGGTACAGATAGGAACTGGAAACACAGGGAATCCAGGGCAGATAATCCCTTCAAGACCAGTGGTGAGAGTGGCGATACCAGGAGGGTGGAGGGAGGGTGGGGTGGAAAGGGGGAACCGATTACAAGGATCTACATATAACCTCCTCCCTGGGGGACAGACAACAGAAAAGTGGGTGAAGGGAGACATTGGACAGTGCAAGAT